GTGAGGAGAAGAGTAAAGGGTTGAAGTTCCAGAGCACGATATCCTCCCAGTCATTGAGACGGAGCTGCCCGTTTCTCGTGCAGGGTCGATCATGAAGCAACTGTCGCCGATTTTGACAAAAGAATAGGATGATCGACAAATATCCCAGGGGACAAACAGGATAGCGACACCGCGCGGTTTTAGTGCACATCCCCAGATTTCAGATGGTCCAATTTTCGCCTTCGGGAGGTACCGTCGACCGAACTGATCCCAGCCGAAAGCCTAAATTCCTTAGCGTCTCGTGTGCCAGTAATGGCAGGGGGCGGGCTGGGGGTGAGCGGGCCTGGGAGCTGAGTCTGGGCAGTAGCTCGAACCGTGGTAGGGGCTCATACGGCTACGCGACGCAGCCATGAATCAATGGTCGCAGACTTGGCGGTTTTGTGCGTTGAACGGAGAATTCGAGGGCTTCTGAGGCTTGAGACTGACTCGCAGCAAGCCGTGTGCAAGCCGTGTGCAAGCCGTGTGCTACAGCTCCATACCTGCATGGAATGCCCCCCCCCTGTCAAAAGCCAACTCGCACGGGCATATTTCTCATTTTCCGCCCAAGGTAGCAGGCGCTAAACGAATCGGCACCATGGTGCTAAGGTTTAGGCTCTATCGCAAGAGACGAGCTATCTTGGGCGGTCGGAAAATGAGAATATGTCCGTGCGAGTTGGCTTTTGACAGGGGGGCCCAATTCCATGCAGGTATGGACTGTCAGAGAGCCGATGGGAACTGGGGAAGCCTTGTCCCTGTCCCACGTTTTACCTGACAGTCCTGCCCGGCCTGGAGAATCGTATTTCGCATCATCCTCTTATTGTTTCTAGTGTCCCTGAAAACGCTGTGCCCTACCATGCCTGCCATGCCCTACCAAGGAATTGGCTCCCGGTAAAGCGACGGCCCCGAAGCTCCGAAATCTCACATCAAATTCAAACTCCTGCCGGGCCTGGAATATACTCCACTGTAACGAAGGCGAATCCACTGATGAGGTCATCAACTGAACGGGTTCATTCGTGATATTCAAACTACAGAAAAAGAGAGATAATTACACAGGATGGGGAGATGAAGATATGAGAAGGCTAACACAGCGCGTCTTAGGAGCCAACCGTGCAGTATTGGCTGTGTTAGCCTTCTCCACTGGGGGGACGAAATTCCGTACGCAGGGGTCTTGGCATTCCATAATCGCTCTATTTCTACACTTCTATCTTCGGTTCTACCACAACGAGCTTCTAATACGGTTTCCTTCAAGTTGGACAACTTCCTTACACCGCCAGCGCATCTCAGATATCCTTGAGCGGATCTGTTGCTGTGTAATACGCCTCCACTCACGTAGAATCGCTCCTTTGAACTCTTCCACTGTCTGCCAGTTCCCACCACGCAGGCGTTGCTTTATGAGTTGCCAAATGGCCTCGATAGGGTTAAGATCAGGCGACTGTGCAGGGTGGGGGAGGATGGAGATACCTGCCGCGCGTTTTGCCTGCGCCGCTAGATTATTCCAGCTCCGCGTCCCATGGGACGGATCCCCATCTTCTTGTAGGTAAAAGACGTGGTCGTATTGGGCCTCAAGCGCCTTGAGGCGCTCGATGTGCTTTGGGAGAATATATTTGGTATAATACTTTTGAGTCATCGAGTTCCCTTTGATCTTAATATCTGCGTCAAGACCACCACCCCTTTGGGCTACTTCCCATGCCTCCCGTACGGTAGCCAGTTCCTCGGGGGTCTGGACGCTCGATTTACGAGGCTTCCGGGGTCGGTAGACCCCCTTCGCAGCCGGTTCGGCTGGATCAGAGTAGAACTCGAAGATCCCCTTCTGATTATAGGAGATTCCGGCCGTGACGTGAACCGTCACGTCGAGAGGGGCCCCTTGGACCTCTTGAATTGATTTAAGCCGTTGAGATTGGCCTGGGACCCGTAGCTCGTATTCCTGCTTATCCGCGAGCTCTTTCGAATTGAAATGGACTTCATCCGTAAAGTAGACCCATTGCCACCACTCTATGATCGTCTTGCCCCGGTGCTCCTCCCCATAGGCCGTCCGGACCCCCTTATTCACGTCGCTAATAGCCTTGCCCTTTGGCTTCTTATATCGCCTTGCGTTAAGCCGTTTGGAGAGGTTCCGCTGGAGAGTTTTAGCCGCGACGCCGAGCACTTCTGCCATTTCGGTATAGTCCTTTCCGTGGAGGGGATTCTCCGGGTCGAGGAGGTCCTGTAGGGTCTGGTTATCGAGGTCACGGGGTCGGCCAAGGCGCTTGCTTATCCCTCTTGTCCGTCTTAGAGCCTGTGGCCCTAATTGTTCGCGCTAGGTAAGCCATTTTCGACCTGTTGATGGGTGGATCTCGATCCCTTTTTCGCGGCAGATTGAGTTAAAAGAACGACGGCTTTTCGACTGATCGTATAGCCTAAAAAAGGCTACGCGGCGAGGAGTATTGAATTCCTTTTCTAGAGACATATCTGATCAATATTGGTGGAGATATTAGCTTGTAAAGTTGAAAACGGAGCACTGTCGCTGCAGATGAAATGAGATCGTGGCCCCTGCGTACGGAATTTCGTCCTCCCGGTGCTCGGGCGCCGAGGCATCAAGGCCTCAATCCTCCTCGTCTTGGCGAATTGGCTCGTCAGGAAGCCGGTTCGACTCGCTCGCAGTTCTCCCTTGCTGAGTGCGCGAACTCGCAGGATGCGCTGTAACCAGCGGTTGCCAAATGCATTGGTTGGCTCACGTGCGTCGTCCACTAGCGCCAGGGTGCGCCTTCCCTCCCCCCTTGCCTAGGGTTCGATTTCAATACTCTGGGTCCGAAGATGTACCGTGACGAGGGTCCAAATACACTCACTTGGTGCTGCCGATCGGTTGTTGATGTCTCCCGGTCGTCTCGTCTCTGTGACGAATTCTAGTAGGGTCGAATTCGATCCCGCGCTCCAGTCTGCCTGCAATCGAGGGGTAGATGAGAATCACCAGATCTTATGCCTTGCATTTCTCTTGACGACCAGAGATGGATGGACTGGAATCGCACGGTAAGGGTTGCAGGATCCCATTTTCCGTCTTGGCGGCGCTACGTGAGTAATAATACTCATTTGATCGCTGTAGACGCGTCTCTAGAATTAGTTCGTCAGAAAGCTGGTTCGTCTCGCTCCGCAGTGCTTCCTCGATGTGCGAGATTTAGTTTAAAAATAAGCTATTAAAGTATTCCTTTAGTTTATCTACATATTAGTCCTTAGATATCTAGCTATGAAGAATACATAAACTCAAATGACTTAAAAGTTAGAGAGTCCATTAGGATTTTCAGCAAACAAGAGGATGTATTGATAGTAGCGTAACATGCGCCTACTCCGTGTCACGATATGGCTTTGGGGCGGCCAGACATACCACCGTTAGGTACCGAGCTGATTGTCCATGGATAGAGCTAAGCGAGGGATGGCCAGGTGTGCGACCAGGCTTCCCCAAGGGGGTGAAGAATGTCGCCAATCTCACAGTCAGCGATGTGCAGGTTGGTGATACTTTCTTCAGAAGGATACTCGCTTATTTAGGATAGGGCTATTATTTGCAGAAGCACCGGGACCCCGCTAATACCGGCTTAAATCTCTAACGCTATCTGGGGGAATGGGCTGGAGGGGTTGTTGGAGTTAGTGGATAGGTACATATAAGGTTGTCTTCAGTCGCTTCATTTGAACAAGTGCTGTGTCGAAGTAGAGGAGGTGATAATTTACCATCACGCCAACGTGCTCCTTAGAAGTGCGCAAATCCCACCCTCCCCTCCACCCCTTGGACAAATCCAGTATCTTGCAGACTGTTACCGACCTTTCGTTGACAGTTGAGACGTTATCCTAGCCACCACGAGAACCAACCACTGTCGATGTCGACGAAAAGATAACCTAGAACACATTAGCGTCCTCGTCACTGCAACGAAAGGGAATCATGATTAGCCGCTGTTTAATCCTCTACCAAGTATGGCTCTGCTATCCTACGGGTTCTTGAATGGAATCGATTGAGAATTGTAAAAAGATGGTTATTCGCATTTAAAGCTTGTATCTGAGAGATACAACGTGCAGTTAAGTATTGTGCTAGATCGATTGACATTATTTACACCCCCGGCACGATACTCCGCCTGACCGTTACATGTTCCGATTATGGTGTCGGTGCGAACGTCGGTAGTGGTGTTGCGGGTTCCGTCCTGTCTCTGTTTCCACTGGTATAGTTGTACTAACTTGAGCAGCAGGGTCAGCGCTGGTAGGCGTGGGTAGGGTCTGAACCGTTACCCGAGACCTCTCGGGTAACTAGATCATCTTTCACCATCCAGTAAATGCTGCTGTCGTCGTCGGTAAAAATCTCGAGATCTTCGTCGGGAATAGGAGTGACTTCAAGATCGCCGTTTAGCATTGATTGAACGGCGCGCTTCTTGAGCCAGGTGTCGCTCAAGACACCTACGGGGTGTTGGGCGCCCGGGGTCATAACTTGTGCGGTTTTGTAATTATACATTGGCCAGTTATATGGGGAAAGGAACATTCTAAGTGAAAATTGATTAAAACGGTTCATGACAATTGCTGCAAAGAGAAGATAGGACTTACGGATCATTGTATAGAGCGCGGAAGCTAGTTCAACGGTTAGTCATAGCTTCAATATATACTACTGGAAAGGGTGGCATACCCGTGGTCTTCAATGTAATTGAGCTTGTTGTCACGGCTGTAAACAGGCTAGGGAGAGCTGAAACCATGGAACAAGTAGCTAATTAAGAATCGTTAGTTTATATTTCTCAACACTTAGAAACTGATAGAAGCTTACGAAAGCAATACGAGTATGGTGTTTGGGAGTCAAACTATTCGTAGAAGTAGCATCAGTAAATGCAAATCGCTGTCATGCCTTGGGTCATCGGTGTTGCATAGAAACCTACTCCGTATTTCCTGATGAAATGTTTCCCATAGGACGGCGCGGCGGCTCGAGGGTCTCCCAGCCCAAAAGTTCCAAACTCCCAAGTCACCGGGAGAGCGTCTGTATGGCCACATGACGGTCGATATACACTGCATGGATAATAATACGCCTCCTTCCACTGTTGCCAATCGTTGCCTGCGCTCGATGATCAGATTAGTCTGGATGGCATCCGATCGAAGGGAAAAGAGGAAGCCAGACCTTGACGTCCGTTCGCAGCACCATTGACCAAGCGAACGACCTGGTAATTTAGATTTTGTCCCTCCAACAGATTACCCATTGGGAATTCGTCCGCTTGACATTTAGCAGCCCCTGACTGGGCCATGGTACCCCACATGGCCAGCTTTCTGTAGTCTGTATAGAGCTCCGAAATGAATAAATGAATACGAATATGGCCCTTATTCATATTCGCTCTTCACGAATATGAATAATATGAATATTATTCATATGAATATGCCCAATATTCATATTCATATTCGTATTCATATTTATTCATATATCTCTCCGGGAATTTGTTGTTCCGGGCCGACCCGTTTCCTCTTCCTATAGTTATATGCTATCGTCTTGCTTGTCAATAGACAGATTTCAGTCCAGTTCCTATGCCAGAACATAGGCAGGTGTTTTTTGCGCTGCTTTGAGCCGTGCTGCGAATAGCCATGAATTTGGATCCCATATATCCCGTATGTCTAGGTACGGGGCCCTATTCAATTGCAGGTAGAGAGCGATTGAAAGATTGCCTCTCATTCCCAATATCATTTTTATTCAAATTTCTGCGCAAACAACCTCGCAAACGTCAACGCTGTCTAAATCCTCCAAAACCTATTGAATAACTATCAAATTTGCACTGGGAATAAGTTACATGAGTTGACACGTTAATGACGCGTCAAATCATGTACTCGACTATTGGTGATAGAGAATGGCGGTTTGTTTACTTGAAGCCGCGAATCCTGGATTTTTATGACACGCCTATCGCGTTAACGATCCTACATATGCTGCCGTTTAATCCTATTCAATAAACAACACTATCGATTTACTTAATATCTATGAAGTCTGGGATCGTGGCAACGAGCGTGATTTCCTACATAGCATGGCTTAATCTAGCATCGACTTCTCCCGAAGTACACGAAAAGCCCCTTAATTATTATATTAACAGTCCTAAGCACTCCTTGACATGTTATAGTAATGAGGCTTTAGATGTTATAATTTTATTTGCCTAGATCTATGTGAAATATACATGAATAATATGAATATTCATGAATATCGCGAATATGAATGTAAGGCGTATTCATATTCACATTATTCGCCAAGACTTTATTCATATTCGCAAATTATTCATATTATTCATATTATTCGTATTCGTTTCGGACCTCTAAGTCTGTATGGTGAGATCTTGACCACCGTGTTTGCATGAACGGTCCACTCCTCGCTGCTTTGGTGAGTGTGAGAGGGCTAGAGTAGAGGGATCTAACTTACGATTGACGTGATACACTGTTCTCCCACCGAGTCCCTTATCAATTGCCCACCTATCCGATGTGAGCTCGCTAGAAGAAAAGCGTCATTGTTCTTACCGTTGGTTGTCGTAGCGGGTAAATGTTAGAGCAATCTTCTTACATTTCTTCAAATGGCTGCGGTCCCACTGAGTAGCGACAGGTGTATGTAACTGAGCAATCGCAATTGTTCTGCGTGTCTGCTGCCGAGAAGTCCTGAACAGTCCATTGCCCGCGTGTCGTTATGGGAACTGATATCTGAGCTGGCGTTGTGAAGAATCCGAAGAAGATACCAAGGAGGCCGCCAACAATACCTCGAATTCCCCCAATAATACCTTTGGCCCCGGTGTACATTGAAGCTGCAGCCGAGCTGAGAAGCTCCGTGCAGAAGACAGCCGTACGACCACTGACCAAGGCATTGGCAGGAAGCTTTCCTCCAGCTATGAGCTCGGCTAGGGCAAAGAAATGTCAGCGAGGTATTCCTTACGTCATCATGGACCCGTTTGTGATAACTTATACCCAGCCCCGTCAATGCCGTTGCGGCAAACCCGCACCGAGCGCCAGCCCCCACCACCGACTTCCTAGCAAAGCGTGCCATCGCTGGCTGGAATCCAGTGCAACAATACGATTGATAGCCACCTAAATATAATTAGCCAGCAACTCTAGGTCACGCCTTGTATTTTGTGGAATTAAGAATTCGAAAACTGTAAGGAATAGAACCAGAATCTATGACATGGATCTGGTATACAACAAGTTGCAGTGTAGGCTTCCCTGATAGAAATGAAGCTCACCGTTGCAAGTCCGGTCGTTCATGACATCGACGTCGAGACTCTCGAACACGTGGCTCGCTGTTAATTATTAATGCCGGACTTTTGGAGGCAGGTATTAACTGCAAAGACGTACTGCTACCTGCTATCCAGACAGCGTCTGGATTTTGGCACACTGACCTGGTGTAGCGCATTCCAACGCCCCGCCATCCTTCCCAAGCACAACGGCCCATGCTTGTTGAGGCTGCGCAGCATAATGTTCTGAACCCTGCGGTACATTGGTTCGAAGGGGGGACGTTTTTAGGCTGGCCAGAGCTCCAAGTTTCGGGAAAGTATCGCACATCACATTCTTCGTCACAGCCAGTCCAGTAACACAACGCCTGGGCTTGAGCCTGAAAATCTGACTTCTTAATCCATTTCTTTAGCGTGAGCGCATCATCTGGGTCGACTCCTTGGCTTGTATCGAGTCCGAGGAGGAGGCTCACGCTATCGCCCTCTAGATTATCATGGTCAAAGGCCCAGACCATCGTGCCACTATGAAACGTTAGTATGAGTTTTCCAATCCATCACCGATGGGTATATTGAGAGGAATAGTAGTTACCCAAGACACAGAATATTTGCCGCTTGAATCTTTAACTGCATCGTTTGACCATTGTCGTAACTAACCCATTGATCTCCTCCCCATGTAACCCAGTTCACGGCAGCCACACTATCAACTTGGGGAACTAGTTGGACTGGTCGACAATGCGGAATATCTCAGCGTTTGAGAGTGTCCCCGGGGATCCCATGCATTCACCGGGATTTCCACCCGCAGTAAACACGCATCCCGGGGTCGTACAGCTCGGATTCGCAAGCGAAAAAGATCGTCCGTACCACGCGAGTCCAAGGACGACCTTAGACGGCGAGATATTATTTCTCCAAAGAAGGTCTAAACCTTCCTGAATCTCGGTCAAGTTCGAGTGCGGCCGAGCGTATAAATACGGTTTTGATCTGGTTTGTTTAAAGGACTCGTGAGTGCGCACACCAAAGCTTCATCCATTGATGGACACTGAATTTACTCCAGGGCAGACAACATGCGCTTGCTTGAGTCCCAGGAGTGGCAAGGGAGCGACTATATCCGGTACATTCCAGCACCTGGACAGCCTAGACTGATGCAAATCCATGCATAAATGCTGATTAATACAGTTGGCACCCGTGGGCTTGCGACAACGACGACCCAGCCGACAACTCAGTGCAATGCCAGGATCCTAATTTCAACGTGGGCCAGATTACTTCAGACATGTCAGATGTTACTGCGCTATACGATGCCTCTCTGGTAAGTTTTCTACACGAGAATCAGGAATCGATGTGAAAATTACAGGGTGGCAGTATTGTTCTGAGTGTTTTATTGCTCTATGGAGGCAGCGACTCTTGTCTCCAATGCTACCCGCCGGGCCGAACGCGGACTCTCTTTTGGAGCAATACGACAACCTACGCACGACATGCTCCATTGGACAGCCCGTCACAACTTCGCAACTGGCGGTTGCAAAATGTGAGAGAACGCTTGGCGTTTTTTTGAGTGTGTGTGTGTCCCGCCCGCAATTCCACCAGAAAACGCGATATCGCCCATTTTATGACCACAACGCGCTGAATTCGGGGCTCAAATGTCTGAAATGTATATATTCCTAGAGAACTAATATAGTTTAAATTACTGACGCGATTTTAGCCAGCCTTTAGAGCTACAGTATAAATACCATGGCGTAGAAGACACGAAACGCGCTTAATGTATTAGATATTTCCTCCTAGGTTGGTCACCACAAGCTATTGCAGCGGAAACTGGCCTAGGAGTTTCTACTATCTACCGCTATCGTGCACCTCTTGTTCGATATGGCTCTCTTCGTGCCCCATACCGCCGGAAACGGGGCCGTCCTTGTTTATTGTCGTAAGCAGACGAAGACGCGCTCTTCGAGAAACTACTCCAGGAAGGGTGGCTATATCTTAATGAACTCGTATTCTGGTTGGATATGGAAAGAGGCGTACACGTTAGCGAGTCTACGGTATGCCGCGTGATTAAGCGGAGACGCTGGTCACGAAAAAGAATGAGGTGGATCTCGCGGAATCGGTTATAAGAGATGCGGGAAGCGTATCAAGCGGAGCTTCGTTAGTTTGACGCCGATGATATGGTCTTCCTTGACGAGTCGATCTTCAATGAGAAGACGGGCTGGAGATACCGTTGTTATTCGCCCATTGGGCATGAATCCCGCGGTTTCAGGAACATGCATCGGGGAAAGACTTGGGCTGCTATCGGGGCGTATACGATCAGAGGCTTAATTGCCTATGGCATACGCCAAGGCTACTACAGTCGAGAGCATTTGATTCAGTGGCTACGGGACGTCCTGCTTCCGTCTTTGGCTAGAGACTCTCCTCGTCTACGCGTTATCGTACTTGATAACTGTTCGACGCATGTTTCAGAGGATGTTATAAGGCTTCTCGAGGAAGCAGGACATCTTGTACGTTTTACGCCACCCTACTCCCCAGACTATAACCCCATCGAGATAGTCTGGTCGGTCCTTAAAGCTTGGATTAGACGTAATCACGTCTATACGCGCCATCTATGTGGCAACTTTAGCGAGTTCCTCGACTTTGCTATTACGCGCAGTCAATGTGACCGCTTTAGGCTCGAGCATTTTGTAAACGTAGCTTACGGGATCTATATCTCTGACCAGCGATATGATGAGCTTCGTGTACAACTCCGTGGGTTTGAAAATGGGAGGGTAGGGTATCAGGAGAATATTGTTCTCGAGGACGACGTTCTAGTCTATGACGATATTGACGAGCGAGTAGTTGATAATAGTGAACCCTTCTAGGAAGATGAGGAAGATGAGGAGTAACTTTAGGTAATAAGGAAGTAGTGAGATCGAAGATATATATAGGCCATAATGAGTAAAGAAATAAGGCAAAATGGTAGAGAAAAAGGTCGTATCCCGTGAAGATCTTAATCGTCAGCTTAACATCGCTCCAGCTTCCGCCGGAGGGCTTCCAGAGGAATGTTTCTTGCGACTTCGAAAGACCTGTTTAAACTGGCGGAGGTCGTTTTGGAGGCTGCGTGCTATCCCATCGCTAATGCCCATATCTCTCGCCTGCCTATA